CGGAATTGACATTGATATCTAAGACAAAATCATCATTAAAAGTAAATTGTTTTTCAGTTTTATTCTTTTTATGACTTCACAGAGAATAGTTTGATTCTGCTTGGTTTTAATTTTTCTTTCATTTTTTCTCATTCGAGGTGGAGGCTGTATGGTTCAGGTCATTGGTATGGAACGTATATTTTTCCTTTCTGTTGTTCTGTATAGACTGCATGTACCAGACACGGAACCTGTACTCTTTACACATAAAGTCCTGTATCAAGACATCAATTTATTGTGAAGAACTCGTTGGGCGTGTTTCCAGTAGCTAGAGTTGCATATGTTGTGCATCAATGTTTCATCTGCAGCAACACTTTTTGTCTGATAGCTTTAGTCTATCTTAATTTCAGGGTTTAATATCGATTTTGATACACTATTGATTTAAGACAGTCAAACACACTACCACGTAATTTTATTTGCAATCTAGAATGGACACTTTCAAGAAGGTTGAAACACAAGAACATTAGTCTTTGGCGTCTGGCAAATGTCAGGTAGACTCTGTTATTGTCACTATGGAGAAGGCCATCTGTCTTGATATAAAACAGTTCCTGTGAAATACATTTAGGCAAAATGCGTTTTTACGATAAAATGGACATAACTACGTAAACAGTGCCACATTTCAAACATAAAACAGAAGGGAAAGGATATTTTGTTATGTTTATACCAAGGACAACATACACTAGGATCTGCATACATTTAAACCTATGATCTGTTTTTAAGGGGGGAAACTATAAAACTATAAAAAGACCGATACCACCACCACTACTACTACTACTACTACTACTACAACTACTACTGCTGCTACTACTACTACTACTACTACTACTAACAATAATGGCCTGATGATGTACGCCTCTCCGTGGTTTGCCTAGATAGGGAGGATTAAATCCTCTGAACAAAAGGTACAACACCAAGTTACGAATAATCGCTCGAAGCTGGTTAACACTGGGTTACAGAACGCGATTAAGAAAATCGTCTTTCAACTCCGCCAAGTCAGCCTCCCTCCGGTATACAAACCATCCAAACTGGAGTGAGTGAGTGAGTGAGTGAGAGAGTGAGTATGGTTTCACGCCGCTTTTAGCAATATTCCAGCAATATTACGGCGGGGGGGGGGGGGGGGGGGGGGGGGGGGGGGGACACCAGAAATGGGCTTCACACATTGTACCCATGTCGGGAATCGAACCCGGGTCTTCGGCGTGACGAGCGAACGCTTTAACCACTAGGCTACCCGACCGCCCCCATCCAAACTGGAGATGTGACTTACCACAGAGTTAGGCACAGAACCCATCCAAGAGTATCTTGGACGCACCAACTAAGTTGGTTGCAACAGGATGGCCAGAAATACCACGAATAAATGGCATATTACCGAAGCAGCACTCGGACAAAGCCATGCCGATGTATGCCGACCTGACAGAGCAGAATATTCGCGACTAAAGCTGTACATGCGCCGTGAACCTGGTGTGAGCTTACTGCCAAGTCTCGTCAGGTGCCTGTGCATGAACCCCCAGGTCCACACGCAGTAGACCCGAAATTGCAAAGGAACGCTTGCATTATCCTCCCTAAATTACCTGTGGCAGTTGTCACCGATGGCCCACACGTAGGCTCACGAAATGAAATTTCAGATGGTGGCCTCGAAGATTTTGAGTTTTCTCCCGATTCCGACTCCACTTTTGTCAATTTGTGTCGTTGTTTGGACGAAGCGAGACATTCAGGATATTGACACCTTCACACGAAGAATCATGTCGACAATAAATCCCACCACCCTGCTCTTCCCTCAATCGCTTATATTTACCAATCATAAGGGGAGGGGGTGGTTTGGTGAACGTGGAGGTCCTTCATGTATAATTGTATTGTGCACTTTTGCACACATTTATTTGTCTGATAATCCTCTTGTGAAACATGCCAAGATTCATGATGAAAACAAGGCAATCCACAGTTTCCTGAAACGAGCCAAGGATGTGTGACATAATCTAAATGTCAATGTTGATTTTGTTGATGGTTCTGTACTGCCTGACGGTACAGAAATGAGTGTCAACCAAACGAAGTGCCATAAGAAACCGGCCCAGACTCAAGGAGAGGCTATCTAAACGACCACAGCATCGAGTTTATTTGTGTTGAAATTTCACGCTTGCACTCCAAGTACCATGTTGCTCGTTTCCCCATTGTTCTCGGTTTGGTACCTCCCAACCTACTGACTGACATTGGGAGAGTACCCGGGTTTTCTGCCAGGAACACAGCCCTTCTGACATTGTGGGTAATGCAGAAGGCTGCTGTGTTGGAGAGTCTTCACATTCTCCGAAAAACTGGTGGGTTGGACTAATTAGCGCATCGTTGGAGTCCCATTCGTTACTTGGGCTGCGTGTTGAGAGGGGCAAGGGCCCTGAGCGGATGATGGACCTAATTAGCCTGACTGTGCCAGGATCACCCAAACCCTGCATTTATGTATTGTTATCTGTATATAATAAAACAAAGGTATTCTTGAAGAATTTAATTATATTCAACCAGGAACTCTTGTTTTTCATTCATATTTTTACATATCTGTTCAAGTTCTGTGAAGATAGCATTGAATGTTTCTCTGTTTAAACAGACACGATAAGCTTTAGATGTGGTCAAAGAAGTGTAAATCCTAAAGCTTGGTTGATTTTTACAGTGTATTTTTTACAAAATCGTTCCAATAAGTAAATGAAAAGTCTCAAAAGATGGCCTAATAGCTTACCGAAATGGGCTTGATTTCCACAATTTTGAAAGGAATATGACCATATGTACTTAAACTGGCATCAGTCTTTGATGTTGGAGCCCTGACCTACTATTTGACTAATTGACATCAATAGTTAATGGTATTCTATATTAAGTTTGTTGATCTACGTGCGACTAATGTGGACATACATCAGCATGAGACAACATGAAGAATAACGACGAGGCACTCAAACTGGTTGCACTCTAGGTTTGCCTTTTCATGGATACATTGTACATTTAAGAAACGGATCAGTAATCAAACAGTTTGATCTCATTTCAATACTAAAATCGATAACATAAAAAGAATGTCTTTGTTTGTTTAAAGGGATATAAATATAGACACCGCGACGTTGGGGAATAGTAAGGGCAAATTTACCAATTAGCATCTTCATGATCAATTCAATGAACTGCTAAATGAGAAACATGATACAGTATTTCAATCAATCAAGACAGTCTACAGTGGATTGTGCGTGTATTAAGCTAATATGTTGACCTGACTGATACACGACACACACGCGCACTCATGACATTCAAATGATTCCTTATTAGCCTAGATCATATCTCATGTTTTGTAATGGAAGTTTCGTATCCTGACCCTTTTGAAGTCTAGACCCACAAATCTTCAAACGACGCGAACAATACATACAAATTAAGTAATTACTGTGTGAGTTGTTTGTTACGTAATCTATATCTTGTAATGGCTTATTATCAAGTTAACCTCCGTAGTTCCTTTCCAATAAATTCATTTTCTACTGATGAAACATTGTTTGCATAACATATATGATACCAGTATAATGTCAGCAACAGCAGAAGACGGTGATCAACCCGAATAATAATATTAATGCACACACACATCACTTAAACGACATGATGGTGTTGCTCGATCATTTTATTACCGTCTTCGCCATGCTTGTGGTTTTGACACAGAGGTCCATCCATGGTACGACCCGGAATATGTACAGGGGGTCATGGAAAATGATGAATACAATTTTTTTTCGAATAGGCCCATTTACAGCCTCAGACGTATCCAGGCCAACAAACCTGATCTTATCCTTTTTGATAAATCCAATGAAATCATTTATATCATTGAATTTTCTGTCACCTTTTGACACCAATGTGATTGACAAGTTTGCGGAAAAACATGGCAAATATGCCGACCTCGCTTTCGAAATGTCACGCTTCCATCCCAAGTACCAAGTTGTCCGACTTCCCATTGTTCTCGGTGCCTTAGGTTTGGTACCTCCCAATCTGTTGACTGACATTGGGAGAGTACCCGGGTTTGCTACCAGGAATACAGCCTTTCTGGCAATCTGGGTAATGCAGAAGGCTGCAGTGTTGGGGAGTCTTCACATTCTCCGAAGGTGGGTTTGGGTGATTCTGGGTGGGTTTGACTAGGCAGCGCTTCCTGGGAGAAGTCCCATTCGCTGTCCGGGCTGCGTGTAGAGGGAGCAAGGGCCCTGAGCTGATGATGAGCCTAAGTCAGGCTGACAGTGCCTGGATCACCCAAACCCTCTTTGAGTTATTTTTAATCACTACATAATTTCATTAATGGACTAAATGGGTAAATGTTCTTAATGTATTAATTAAATAAGTGGAGTCAGATTGAACACAGTTTTAATAGGCTAGCGCTTTCAACTCGTACCACGTACGAGTCTCATCAGGCCATAACTGAATAACGGACATGAATATGTATATATATGAATGTTTCATTATTCTAATATTGGTTATACAACATGAGCTTACAAGATAAGAAACTTGCATTTTATGGATTTGGTTATATGTGATTAAAACAGGGAGTTAAATCAGTGAAAATATGTTTATTACTATTTTTAGAGTTTTATCAAAATTGAAGCTCTATGTTAGCGGATTTTCTTTACATCAAGTAACTTTAAAACTTTAACAAATATTGATATTAATTCTGGCCGAAATAAGTCCATTCTTAAACATGTACGACTTTGTTCATTGTGCAAAGTTCCATGTTGAGGATGAGTATCATATTCTTTTTGTGTGTTTCTAGAAAAATGTATACTGCAAAATATTTGTATGGTAACAATAATGAATTCCCTTTTTTAACTCTGTAAACATCAATTTAGCGTTATCATTGAAACATTCATTGGAAACAAATAATGAGTCATTTCATTCACTAATATAAAGAATGTCGTGGATAGACGTTGGTGATCTATTGACGTACGAGATAAAGAAAACATATTTTGTGACGGACTCTCTACCTGTACATTCTGAGCCTCTTTTGTGTGCAATAAGGGGTGTCCGTCTAAGGTGTGTGAGTCGGGAAAAGTCTATTTTCATTCCATATGAACATGCGCACGCTAGGACTGCCACCACCACTGTCACTTCTAGCCTAAAGGGCACAGTCATCTGAAACAAAACAAAAGGATCGTCAAGTGATGCAAGACATCATCATTTTGCTATATGCTTAGGCAAGAAAACCCTTGAATATTTTGTTTTCCAGGCCCCATAGAACTTCACTCGTTCCCTTTCCAAAGAGTCCTTACTTTACTTTACGAATGTGGTCTGACCATCTGCATTCTATGAATTTAGTCTCAGAGAAGTAGAAGCAATTTCCTTTGGATATTTGCTAAAACACTACTTCATTTTCATTTTGAACTCTATAGAAACATGTTCTCTTATACAATGGTAAGGATACAACACATTTAAAGTTATGGTTTGCGTACAGAATTTAAGCTTACGTCCACAAATGACGTAATGAATTGATTTCAATATTGTTTGCGTTTGTGACGATATGATCATTAGCACCAGTGAGCACACTGTGTAAATCCATACCTACATAAACACGAAAACATATCGAAGTTAATTCTTATAGATAGATACGTCAAGAATAACTTCACACCTTGCTTATTTGATCATGAACATTGAGAACAACACATAGTGACATCGTTCAGCGCAGTACTGCAGCTAAAGGCCTGCCCACTGTACCATCGGGAAGCAGCAATCCGTTTATTGGTGTAAGCTAATTGTTTTCGGTTTATGGAAACATAACCGCAAATATACTTTGTTTGGTTAACAATGAATATATTGTCGCAAATTTGACGACTAGAATATAACGTCATGTTAATTACGTTGATAATGACACAATGCCTCATTAACAAGATGCTACGGCAGAAAATTAATTCAAACAAATTATAACTAACATCACTGCGCAGAATAGTAATTAGTTGAGACCACCTTGTACTGACACATCAATGTGAACCATGATAATGAGAATAAAACACAATTATCACCATGATCATTGAATAATACATATGTGAATTCGTACGTACACAAGAAAACAATGAAGGTCAATTATTTTAAGATGACACTGGTGTATAATCTACATAATTGAAAAATGACCATCCGCACCTGGGCCTCTAATGCACAGCTACAAATGGGCAATATACACTGTATGGTGCTTTCTGCAAGGGAACAATGGCTATCTATCCTTGTTCTTAAACCCTGCCTCCTGATTGTCAAGTTTTAATGGATTTGTAGTATCAATAGCAGAGTCTGTTAGTCACTCAGCAATGCTATCAACCTTTTATGGCATTGTACATTCTTGATCTATTAGCTTAACAGACCAGGACTGGTGGAACCACTGATCTCCAACTGTGCGATTTACGAAGTTTAAACTCCTTCCAACGATCAGTGATTAACCGAATGTGATGTCAAACACACACGTACACGCGCACACACATACGTACGCATACACCCCACACACGTCTGTGTTTACTTATATGGTAATATGTAAGAATACATACCAATGGCGGGAACATTAAACCATGACATTTTCTGTTTGAAGTATTTCAAATAACATGGAGGGTTTAAAGCAGGGTTCCGTTCTTATATTGATCATGTTTTATTTTCTGGTATCATTCTGATTGTTTGTACTATGTTTATCACCCAAATAAAGTAGGTTTAAATAGTTCCATTTCAGTCATATATCAGTTTGTGGTACCGTTGTTTCGTGACGTCACAGAATATTATGCCTTGACTAAACATAGTTTAGTTAACTCCATGAGTTGTCATTTTGATAAGAAGAGACAACTCAGTGTTTAGTGGCTTTTGTCACATGAATAAACACATGATTGTCGTTAAGAAACCACGAAGGACGAGGTGATATAGGAATATTCTGATTTGGCATTGACATATGCTACACATCTGACATATTTCTTAAACGAATTGCAGCCCTTGAGTTTTTGAACTAAATAGAGTTGTGACAATTATAATGGTACCAGCGTTTGGGTGGATATGTTCTTTTCCCCGAGGATATTCCAGGTTATAATTGGTGCCATGTTACCTATTCGTTTTCTAAGAGTGAGTGAGTGAGTATGGTTTTACGCCGCTTTTAGCAATATTCCAGCAATATCACGGCGGGGGACACCAGAAATGGGCTTCACACATTGTGCCCATGTCGGGAGTCGAACCCGGGTCTTCAGCGTGACGAGCGAACGCTTTAACCACTGGGCTACCCGACCGCCCCGTTTTCTAAGAGACGACTTAGAGGGATCGGATGGTAATGCTCTGAAACATAGCTGATTGCGAGTGATCGTGCCCCGATGATGTGTTTCGTTGCTCATGTTTTCAGGCATTGGTTTCCATACCACCGGAACAAAGCTTGAATACTAATAACCCGCAGCATTAAGTAGCTTTTACTAACTCACTAACTGAAAACAAGTAAATACTCATACGACATCAGCCTAATGCATTCTTATATACAATTAGTTCAGTGCTTTCTCATAAAACAGCAGTCCTTTCATTCTCATACAACAATAGTCAAGTACATTCTCATGTAACTTTAACATTAGTCTTTTCCTTTCTCGTACAACAATAGTCAAGTAAATTCTTATACAACATTAGTCCTGTTCATTTTCATACAATAGTCAATTACATTCTTATGCACCATTGGTCCTTTTCGTTCTCATACAACAATAATCAAGTACATTCCTATGCAACACTCGTCCTATGAATTCTCATACAACAATAGTCAAGTACATTCTTATGCAAAACAAGTCATATTTATTCTCAAGCAACAATGTTCTGGTACATTCTTTTGTAATACTAGTCCTTCTTTTCGTTCTCATACAACAATAGTCAATTACATTCTTATGCAAAACTAGTCATATTTATTCTCAAGCAACAATAATCAAGTACATTCCTATGCAACACTCGTCCTATGAATTCTCATACAACAATAGTCAGTACATTCTTATGCAAAACAAGTCATATTTATTCTCGAGCAACAATGTTCTGGTACATTCTTTTCCAATACTAGTCCTTCTTTTCGTTCTCATACAACAATAGTGCAATGCATGCAATAGCTCAGTGCATTCCCATAAAGAATTAATTCATTTTACTCTTCCATCGAACACAACATACATACAATTCAAAATCTACTGAACCATAAAGTCGCAGACTTTCTGTTCTGCTCACTCTCATAGCTTCCGGGGCGTCTCCTGGGGTATTCGGTTGTGAGATATATAGGCATTTGGCTTTGCCATGGCTTAAAACAACCACAAACATTCGGATATTAACATCAAACGGCGCAGTGCCTTTTCCTCGGGGTTCATTAGGATTAAGCCATGAACTATCCCCAAGCCGGCAGCTGATCAGATGCATTTATTACTTTCATTAGTATATCGATGTATCTTCATCTCTTGATTTGTTAGGACGATCGATTTTCAACAACAGAGGGAAATTATGTTCTGTCAATGGTCTGTGTATTTATTTACGTTTACACCGCAGAAGTCCGATATTGAGTGTTTTGTGCTGTTGAACGTTAGAGGAACAGCATTGCAAACGAGCCATGTGTAAAGATACAATGATCAAAAACCGCCATCAATACTCGACGTCTCGCAAACAAACAGCTACGGGGCGCCATGAGAATACCTTTCTCGCCCTTTATGTAATACAATGGTCTACAATGATCTAAAGTGGGAAACCAATATTAGGGTGATCCCTTTTGCAGCGACAGGCACACGAACATATCGAAACGGTATATGAGTTTGTTAATAGAAGCTTGATGTACGGTTAGATATAACGATTCGGAGAATTCATTATTAGTTCGGTGTCGTCTATCGATGGGGTAATGTGTCAAATATGCATAATGTTCAACTCTTAGATGTGTTGTGTCATGTTATATTACGTAAGAAAGCAATAACTTAACAACACTCTGCTTTTTCGTTTCTAGCAGAAAACACTTTGATACGTGAACTATTTTTATAGTAATTTCACTGTTGATATTTACGTACAGGAAAAGGAAATTGTTCTGCCTATACAACAATCAAGAGCTTTGAACCGATAAGGTACCATTGTAGTTTGAGTGGGAAAAGGCATATTCTCTAAAATCCTGAAAGAGTGTTGTTTCCTGGTATAAGGTAGTAATCACATTTTAACCCTATAACATATAATCCAAACCATTTCCATATTCATAAGAAATATCTGTCAAAAGCAGAGTCGATTGCACGATCCCGGCTACATCATGAGCATGTGTTCATGAATCATTATCAAATAGTGATGGTACCAGGTGTGAGCGTATCCTGCTCCACCGCATGCAAAGGCAAGTCAATTGTTCACCTAAAAATTGTTCACCCCTGAACACGGGAACTTGGTACAAGTCAAAATAGGGAATTGCATCGGACATCATTTTTGTCACTGATGTGTCATCCCTATTGTCATAAGTCTTGTGGAGAGTGTTTTGTCAATCTGATTCTTTATGCATAGATCTAAATCATTGATAAATGAAGACAGCTTCCTAGACTTTCATAGTGATATCCCCGGGGTAGTCAAAAGAGACGTTGATCGTAGACGTTTGTAATTTACTGGTACTGGAATACCGGTATGGCTATGGGGTTCGAACAGTACAGCTAGTTTTAACAACTTTGACCATCTTGTTCGACAAGAGAGGTAGCGACTTCTGGGAAATGTGATAACTGGTTTTGCCCATCTACTGCAAAATTCAAATCGTTGATACAACAACACGATTGGGATTTTTCATTTTTCGGATGTAATTGTGTTATAATCCCCTTGTGATATTCAGTTTACCACACTGTTTTAGCAGGATGAAGACTGCTTTTCCTCTATTCCCACACCTTGCAAGGATGGAATAGCTTTTAACCATTGCCCATAAAAAGGAGATCGCCATCTGTTTGATAATCCTATGTAAACCAAGACTGAAAGAGCAATCGCTTCATTGTTGATGTTTAAGGTTAAATAAATGTAAAAATAACTCTTGTACCTGGACTTTGATGTTAGCTTTCTTTAACAAATCAATCAGTTTCTGGTCATGTCATCGTATTTCACAAATAGAAAATAATCTTTATCGATGAATGACAGTATGGCACAAAATTAGATCAAATATGATG